AAATTCGAGTTTGATACACGTGGGTGATTAGAGAGTAACGTAATTCCGACGGGTTCGATAGCATTGCGATCCAATATCTTTAGGAATTAAGGCAGAGGTAAATATTGAACTACGCGTAGTACTCGAACTAATTACCGAATACAATTATGGGGCACGGTTTAAGACGGTAAATCGAGTAGTCGAGCAATAGGAAATTATATAGATCAAGCGTGTACGTTTATCGAAACGTGTACATTTATCGTTACACATTATCTTCCATTAAATGTCACTTCAACCACTTCGTGACAGTTATATCAATTCCGATAGTATCGACACCAGTCAACTAAAATACTACCAAGGCCTCTAAAGTCCATAAAATGTCTCATTGGTTGGAAAATTCTCCCTAGTTTAGCAATTCTAAATGCTAAACGTCAACAAAGATGCAACGCATCGTTAATAATCATTTCTCGTTAAGCAGCCCTATGCTATTGCTCCAGTCAACTCCTTGAACGCAAGATCGGTATTACGCGTAGATCTTCTTGGAATATAAATTTCGGAGAGCACGATCAAAGAACGGTATTTATCGTAAAATTTATTCTTCGTTGGTAAAAAAAAGAAAAATGTTATTAGGTATATAAACTCAATAATATCTACTTATTTCCAAATAATTAACGTTAACACTATCATTGCTCGAGAGACCACTTTTAATCCATCGATTAAAAATTTTCTGTTCGCCGTTATCACTTTCGTCACTTGACATCGCGACTTTTCTTATACAGAGGTGGTCAAACTCTCTCGCGATAGGAGCCACGTTTCGATAACGAGGAATATTCAGAAATTGTATTTTCCCTGAAAAATTAATTATCACGCACGGTTGTTTTTCGGTCGTGCATTAATCCTTCACTCGTTACGATCAATTTCTCTGTAAGGGTAACTCTATGCAGCAGAGTGTAACCCCTGACATCTGTCTCTTTCACGGTATAATCTACTTCATCGACCACGACCGAGCATCTGACCAGCCTTGGTCAGGTTCAGTGTGCAACTGCGAGCAGTGTTATCCGAAAATTGGGATATCGAAGACGAGTTATAGAGGCAACTCGCATGTCGGTCTGTTCTGGTTTTGCGAGTCGATCCTTTCCACTTCTACGAAATTATCGTCTCGATACACTGGTGTATGCTCGTGGTACGCGTGCATTATACACATATGGATATATTCCTCTTCTATTATCGGCACGCGCTGAACGAATGTTTCAGAGAGCAGGGCACAAGGTCACGGTCTTTCCCTGCTGACTCATCTCACATCCGCCATCCCGATCTTTTCCCTCTTTTCTCTTTCTCCATATCGTCTCCGCCGCGTCTCCGTGTAATTTTACCAGATGTTTCCTAACGGCAGCCTTGCTACCCGTTTCCCGTCCTTTCTTTTCTCTCCACCTAGAGAGACTCTTCATCTCTTCGTTTCTAAACTATTCATTACGCCCGCTGCCGTAATGGCGCACCGTTTTCTTCAGCTGTTAGTCTTCCTCAAACGCGCGCCATCTTTTCGTTGCTCGGCGTTTCGTGGATCTGCTATTTACAATCAGGCGTAGTTTCCTATCTCTTTATTCGTCTTTGCTTCTGCTCCTTTTTCTTTTTCTCCGTGGTACATCAGCGTTGCTTCCAGCGAGGAGATTTTTCTCGCCTATCTTACCGATCGTTCTCGTGTTCATCTGTAGCAGTATTGTTATCTTATTTTCTACTTTTCACGGTGTTTATTTATTTATTTCCCTTAACTGCATCGTTACGAAGAGTAAATTATTATCGAGGGACTTTTTTGCTAGCTTACACACATGGATTTATTTATCTTTTTTAAATACAGCGAGGAAAATAATTGCATTTTATTATTTTATGAATTTTTAGCCGTTGACAATTTATTCCGTTAGATAAATAAAACGATACCGTTATCGGGATTGTTATTGTTATTATTGACATGTCGTCTGTATCCTGCACAGATGTGTCATGCGTCGATTATTATTTTTTCTTCTTCGCGTATTCACAAATTTTTATTACTCTTCCTCTACTACTAGTTGCGTCAACGAATAAATTATTAACCCTTTGCACTCGAGAGGTGACTCTCAGTCGTCATTTAATCAAATTCTAAAGATTGACGTTAATTAACATATCAAATATAAAATTACCTAACGATGTGTGGAATGTCGAAGAAAAATAATTCTACGTCTTAATTTGCATATGACCTCTCATTTACCATTTTAAAAATTTCGTCGACTCTGTGACAAAATGTCTTCGAATTACTATTTTCCTGTAACGAAAAAGTCGTCCAGTGCAAAGGGTTAAATACGAAATGTTCTCGTGATTCTTTAGAAATTTACCGTTTTACCAACGAATAAATTATTAACCCTTTGCACTCGCGAGGTGACTCTCAGTCGTCATTTAATCAAATTCTAAAGATTGACGTTAATTAACATATTAAATATAAAATTACCTAACGATGTGTGGAATGTCGAAGAAAAATAATTCTACGTCTTAATTTGCATATGACCTCTCATTTACCATTTTAAAAATTTCGTCGACTCTGTGACAAAATGTCTTCGAATTACTATTTTCCTGTAACGAAAAAGTCGTCCAGTGCAAAGGGTTAAATACGAAATGTTCTCGTGATTCTTTAGAAATTTACCGTTTTGGTTATTTGCCCGAATCAACGTTCTTTTGTTCTATCTTTTCTTTCTTTCATTCTCGCGCGTGTAAATAATCGGATGATAAATTACGCAATAGTTTCTGTATAAATTTGCCATTCGGTTGTTTTGCCAGATAAAAAGATAATAAGCGAGGCATGATATCGGAGATACAACAGCGTTTTCGATTTGCGATATGTACGTAATCGGAGGTACACCGCAATGAGAAAATGATGGCGCGTATGCACGCGCGACCGCGTGTACGCTAAATTGGATTCGAACCATATGCGACAACACGTAGAGTCTGTTCTTACTGATTCACGCGGTGTTTATAAATGTACCGGGAGCAAATTCAATGGCACGAATAGTTATTGGGGAACACGATCGAACGTGACACCCGGTGATAATGAATTTCTCAGAAGTCGAAAATCCATGGTTAATTTCAAACTGCCTTAGACGCGATTAGTTCGTTACGAGCAATTTGAAAACGGGGTAATACGTCAACGAAGATATAGCCATTACGCGTAGCCGATGTTTCTAATGTCTTTCGTGTTATTCGACCTAATCGAAAAGTCACCAGCCTTTTTAAAGCTTACGGTATTTACAGTACTGGCATTACGCACTGTGAGTATCCCGATGACAAAATTAACAGGCAATACAAAGCTTATTGGGCATAACTGTGGATCGAAATGGACATCGATATCTTCTACGTTTTTTAATAGTTAATACATTAGTAAATTTAGATAAAAATTCGCATTCACGCGTATAAAAGCAACACTCACGGTGACTGGTTCGTTAGGGCCAATTTGGAAATGAAACGAACGTAATGCATCAACGAAGATACGATAGGCTTTACGCGTAGCAGAGGCTTGTAATGTTTAAAGGAATCGGGGAGATATAAAGCTCAGGGTACTTATTTTTAGCGTAATATAAAAATCCTTGACAAAGGTTGCTGCGAAAATAGGTGCTCTAGTTGCTCTCGTTGCGACATGTTTATTACCGGAAAAAGATCGAAAAGGGAATATTTTAATGCCGCCCGGGTCTTTGAAAAGCATGAAACGTTGACATTGAAACGCGTCACGTGCGTGAAGGGATCTGTGAGTAGCGTTGCTCCCGGGGCTTATAAAAAGCATTTGAAAAGCGTGGTTGCGCAAGGAAACGTAAGAATAATTTCACGTGGCGTGGCGTTGCGTGCAATCTAGAACCTTTGAAACTGTAACCACAGAACGACAATGATGTCTCGCTTCATTGACCGCGAATTTAACTGTCGATAAGTCGCGGCTGCTATGTAGTTCCGCGAAACAAACAGCTCGACGCTTTCAATTTCCTTAAAAGCCCTTGGATCCAGACAGACAGCCGTTTTTATATTTCCGTCTGCGCGCGCGCTCTCTCTCTCTGTATCACTTTGGTATCTGCTTGTAAATCAAATATTCAGAGCCGCCACAAAACTCGACGAAACGTGGACGTCATATGGGGTGCACACAGAGAGATATACACGCGGCTGTAGCAGTGTCCTCTTCCATCTCGTCCCTTTGATTTTCGGCTATCTCTCTGCCGGCTACGCCAAAATGCTTTTCAAGAGACTGCGACCCGCGCTCGTTGTCCTCCTATCAGATGAATACGGTCGCCATAATGTTCTGGCTATGACAATTTCCCCTTGTTTCATCTGTGGTTCGACGTATTGAAAATCCTGTGTCCGTGCTTTTCTTCAGACTCGTGATTATTTTCCCTCCTTTCCCGAGTCCGCTACCTTTGCTCGTAGGCTAGCAATTTGACAGAACTTTGGCAAAGAAATACAAGATTCCAAGTACCACTCTGCTGTCTCCTTTTAATAAATTAATATACACCATGCTCGTAGAATTCTTACGGTATTAGAAGGCAAACTTCGAGACAAGTTTCCATTAAGTTTGCTACGTACCTCTGACATCGTAACAAGCTTCATATCAAAATTCCAAAGTACCTTGAAACGTTTCGTCGTGATATAGTTAGAATATAGAGAGAAAGAAAAGATTTTGGAAATAGAATTACATCCGAAGCTAGTCTTAGACCCTTGGTTTACGATATGGTACGAGACTCGTGGCATGGATCGAGTGAAACACGCGAGGGCGAGAGACCGAGGGCTTGTAGGTAGTCGAACGTAAACAATACGGATTCGCGGTTAATTTTCCTCGATGCCTGGCTGGCTGCCTCAGTTGCGCGTTATTTTTCGCGGTGTTCGGACGAGACGACTCGACGTGTGACCGATCTTTGTTATGGCACGCGTCGTAGGAACCTAAATCGGTTGGTCACGGTGCTAGAAGCCGTGGAGGAATATAAGGACACGTACTAACATGACTGGTACGTTTGTTGCAGAAGTATTGGAACGGTAGAGGAGGGCTCGGTGACCACGAGCCTGACGGTCGCCGAGGTCGCTGATTCGCAAGAGCAACAACAACCGCAATCGAAGAGCAACGGCGCAGTATCTCGCCGTGTTGCTGGTCAGAACGTTGCGCTGAGCAACGGGAACAGTACCAGCAACGTCGGCCGCGTGACACCGCGAAGCCACATGGAGCAGGAGAAGCGTATGCGGCGAGAAATCGCCAACAGCAATGAACGACGTCGGATGCAAAGTATTAACGCCGGTTTCCAGTCGCTGAGAACGTTGCTGCCGCATCACGAGGGCGAGAAACTTTCTAAGGTAAGTGGCGACGGTCTTTTTTCTTTGCGATCTCTCGCGGTTTTATCGTTCGCGAAATCATCCTTGTACAGATTATTGCTGGTTTATTGCGCCAGAACTTCGACGACTCGTGCTGAAATTTGGCACGAGCAGCGAGAAATTCTCATAGCTCGGAACGTTCGTCGAAATGGGGTTACTCGCGCTGCGCGAGGATCAAATTTAGGACCCACTAGGATAGCCTCGTGCGCCATTGATCTAGCTCGTCATCCCGTCAAAGTATTCCGAAGCGAACGTAATTGTATCATCCTTCAGTAGTATTAGACGCTTTGTCACCGAGACCGATGAATCCGTTATGCTTCCTCCAATAAGTTACCTGTGCTGGAGGAAGGATTAATTCTCGGTTTAAGTTCCGTACTCTTATTTCGTTTACGTCGTCGAATTAGCAGATCGACCCTTTGAATTCGTGGTTGCGTGGGTGTGTTTGGTTTTTCCGATTAGCCCCAGGTTTCGAGTATCGTCCCACTCCGAAGAAACGACGATACCGTGCGGGGAATGAAATCAAAGGGTTGATTCTTTCCAACCGAACGTAGCCAGTATCCATGTAATCACCACTTGCACGTTCGAAGAAGAAGACAACGGTAACTCGCGAATCCGATTTTCATTCGCACCTAATTTCAGTGCAGCACTGATCCTCGTTAACACCGATCAATCCGAGCGAGTGCGAAATGTGCAGTGCGTACAAAACGTTTATTCTTATGCCGCACATTTTGCACGTCATTTAGACTGGCTATAGCCATACTACGGCACGAGTTTTACTACCGCACGAGTGGTGTACGCTTGTTCGATAATACCACTCTGTAACACTTCATTCACCCGGATTCCCTCTTTCATTCATCGCTCCGCGAATATTGCGGTCTTCGGGTGAAAAACACTTGGGGAATTTTCGGTACGCTCCGTATTAGCGTCAAACTTGACCCCAAGCACGACCAAACACGATCGGTCGTCAATAACGAACGCGATGTCGTCCGCAGCCGCATTATCCATAACACGGGATAATGAAAACATTCGTTGGTAGGTGCGAAAGAATCAAGAGATCTTACAAGCGTATTTAAATACAAGCAAGTATACCTATCAAGCGAGTCGAAACTCGACTGTATGTAAACATACGTCACGGGTGCCAGCGTTGGGTACCCACGAGGGTATTGGTGGACCCGTACAGTCCATTGTATATTTTCCCTCAATAACGATCCCATTAGATACCGTTAAGACGAAGAATAAATTATTTGACAGGCGTGATGTTCCGCCTGTCTACAGTCACGCCAGCGAACGACGATGTGTCCTTAACAGGGTGTCGTTCCTACTAAGGTTAACACGTGGACCGGAAACGGTAACCTGTTTCTCTTTGGTAAGGTGAATTCGCCAATGAAGCTCAATCGACGTCGCGTGAACGTATCAGAACGTTACGCAATGCCGTCACGAACGGCTTTTACGAATTGTCGCGCAGCGTTCCTCCGACTAATTTTAGCACGTGAAAGTCGGCGTACGATCCCACGCCGTTAAACTAGACCCACTCGATCTGTCACGTATGCCTAGTCATGTCGGTGCTTTAATCGTTTGTCTCGCCCATAGTCCACACCGTGTGACACTGACCGCTTTAGGTTGCCCTTACACGGTTGCATCTCTCGGATTGCAAATGTCGCATCGCCGCCGTTATCGCATAATTTCGCTCACACCGATACACACCCGCGATTTTTTCGCATGTACTTTGCTTTTTCGCGACGCGTCGTCGAGATTTTACCGAGAGATTACAGCGTCAAGTCTATGCGATCCGTGAGTCAATTGCCAATTTGGGTTTGTGTTTTTGGTTATTCGATTTCATTCTTTATTCCATTTCGTGCGGTGTTATAATCGCGATACACGGAGGTTTTAATATCGATTGGTAATTGCATTTTATCACGCAGGTAATTATTATTTTGAAATAATACAGAGAACGTAGGTTCCATTGTCGATGCGAATATTATTCGAGAGATTCGTAGAGAATATTGTTGAAAGAAAAATGGAGAAATAATCTCAGCGGAGAGGAGAATGGGAAATAAAATGATTTATTTATACCCAATGTGTGTGTGTGTGCAATTTTTAAAACGGAGTAATCTTTTTAGCCGTCCCAGTTTTTACATGTACGCTAGGAGGAGTGCGGTAATTATCAAGAATTCACGACCAATTAAGGTTGTACTTATTTCGGTTTTCGTATCGCGAGTGTGTATTATTAGAAGTATTTACACGTGTCTTATCTCGCGTGTTAAACCCTACGTAATATCTAATATCTCGGCGAGCTTAATGAAATTATTCTCGTAAGTAATCGCCGTAGCCATCTTCGCGCGTAAACTCGCGGTACTTGGCGAAATCCAGCAGTGACGTAAATTTTCAGTTTATCCGAAAGCAATTTGCTTACTCGTTCGCGGGTTACACGATACCACGGCGTGGTATCTGAATGCAACGCGTGTGTACGTGTACGCATTTACGCGCAAAATCAGCTGTTAATTCACAGTAGCAGCAGCAGCAGCAGCTCGAGTCACGCGGCACTCGAGGTTCTTGTCCCGATTGATACACATGCGCATTGTGTGCTTACCTTTAGTGCCACGTCATTCATTTTTAATGCCCCAAAATCCTCCAAACATTTTATCTTTTATTGCCACTCTTTTATTATTTTTATTACCAGTCTTTTGGATTTATGTTCCCAGATGTACAGAAATTCCTTAAATACTGTCAGCAACGATGAAACAGAATCTATGAAATATATGAAATATATGAAATCGAGTAGTATGATCGGTAAAGGAGCATTTCGAAATTTATTCGCATTCTTTTCAGGTTCTTTTCAGCTTCCCATCTGTATGACGAGTTCGTCGTGTCTTAAACGATTCGAAATTTTTGATAACATATCTGTACTCGTTGTTATCGTTTTCACGACTGCTCTATATCTGTCGTTACTTAAACGACTATTTTCAAACTTTTGTTTTAACACGTTAACGACCGGGTACTTCACCTCGATCCTTTCACGTAGGACCAGGCATATAATTAAATATTAGCTCTTAGCTCTTAGTAGCTCTGAGTAACACGACCTACGACATGAGGTTTGTTAGAAAACAGCTAAATTTATATCCTTTATTAAACGTCGAGGATAGTATTTTTCTTATATCACGACAAAATGATATTTGCGCGAATTTCTTCACGGAACAATGCCCAGCAAGACGGAAATCTCCGTGACCGATGTTCAACGTGTTAAAACTACACGTTCGATGCTACCTCTTTGATCACTTGATAGCGTGATTTAGTTTTTAGTTCACGTTTTGTCAATTTTTCGATATTCCCTCTTATTCCATTCTTCGAAGATTTTTCGTCCTCCCTTTTCCCATTTGCTAGTATCTTCCAGTACCTTTCGTTCCATTTTTGGAAATTTATATTTACCCTGTTTCGTCTCGCGTGTCGGAGCATTCGATCGTTCGAATGTTCGCTCTCGACGAATGTAACCTTAACCTATCTTCCTTGAAACATCTATCACGCTAATTTGCGGATGGAAAAAAGGATACGTTCGTAAGTATGAGAATAAAACTAATCACGGTATTCGAGCGAGCAGCCTGGAGCACTTGCATGCACGCGTCAGCTTCCCGCTGTCTTTGGTGTGTGTGTGTGTGTGCACCGTGTACACGTGTAGCTGCCTGTCTCGGTGAGTGTGCACGTACTTTCGCAATGCGATATTTCGCGAACCAGTCCTCGGGCCACATGGTTCAATTCCCACGCATTTCTCTTAAGGAGATCGCCTCGTTCCTTTTGTTCTTTCAACCTTCCTTTTCGCCGCTGCTCTTCCCGCTCCGCTCCGCTTCGCCCTTTTTGTCCTTTTCCTTGTATTTCGCCCCGCTTGCCTTCGCCGTCTTCTCTTCCTCTTGCACGATTCTCGCTTCGAGCCTCGTCGCGACGAAGGCCAGACCTGGTCGGCGAATTTTGGCGAAGCCCTGGCCCACTAAGAACCGCCATCGTCGCGTCCTCTGCCGCGCATAACCGCGACTCCGACTCCCTTTCGCTACGTAGCGAATATTAACGAGCCCCGTGTCCAAATACGAACGCATCCCGCTGCCTTTTTCACCCACCGGCCAGCTACTTTTTGCTCGTTACCCACGACCGCTCCGGTCAACCTATTCTTATTAATTAGTCACGCGGCGTGCGTGGCTACGCGTCCGAGTTTTCCCGTTTTAGAGCGATTTTTCGGCACGGCTGTGGAAAGACAGGGAAGGAAGGAAGGAAGGAAGGAAGGAAGAGACGCATAGGCGTAATCGCGTGCGGTACGCGCGGGTCTCGAGGAGAGTGTCGCGCCTTTTGTAGCGGCAGCAGCCGGTCGGCACTTTGGAAAAGAAGCAAAAAGAAGGAGCGCAAATGAGCACAGACGCCTCGACCCATTTTCATTTAGCGCTCGCCAGACAAAAATAAAAATAAACCGCATCCTCCTTACCGTTCATCCTCCTCTCGCGTTCTGTTCGCGAGCCTTTTAACGAAACTCGGATCGTGCGTCTACCGCGCCTCTCCGCTCATGTGCGTGGGTCGGGGTTGTTTCGCACGCATAATCGTGCTTTTGTGCCGCGCGAGATCGATCTCGGATGTAATACTCCTCGCGCGCGGCCCTCGAACGTGTTTGCATTGAAACTGGCTGATTAATGGCGGTAACCATTCGCTTTCTGCTGCCACGATTTTTTACGCTTACCGTTATTGATAAATCGATACCTCGAAAGCGGACGAAGGGGCAAGATAATTTACGGCTCTTGCAAATATCTGGCGAATTTTTGCTTTTCCCGAGTATAGCGTCCTCGTCCACGGATCAGTGATATATAAATTCTGCAAGCTCTCCGTGTTTCGCTATTTTTCGCTTCTACGGTACGGATACGTGTACGAAAGGAGGTGAAAGAGACATTTGTAGGTAATACGAGAAATTTCATTTTTGGTAATGAAGAACGATACGGTGGAAATTAAGT